ATTAGTATACCTATAAGTACACGCTTGTGGTATAAGAAAAAGTAGGATTACCTGTATATACTTTTACCGCGGTAATAAACACTGAAATTGATGTAGGGATTTATTATTTATTTTATATATTAATATATTCCATATTCTATACCTTGACCCGGGGCTTGAAACTGATTTTTAATACCTGCAGTTAAACCTGTTAAAAACCGAAAAAGATACTGAAACCGAAAACTAAATAAAAAAAAACCAATACCGGTAATCGAATTTAAAGCGGAAAAATTCAAAACCAAAAACGAAATCAGAAAAAATAAATACCGATATCCGAAACTGAAATTGAAATCATATTTTCGGTCATTATAATAATATAATACGAATTCATTACTTGAAACCGATATTGGATACCAATTTTGAATACCGGTTTAAACCGGTAAATTATTATAATTTATATTGCAAATAATCCTTACATAACACGACTCAATATAAAAAAATAAAAAAAAAGTTTAAGAAACGCTTCTATAGTCGTAGACATTTTACAAATATATGGAACTTTTGCCCCACGAGAACTTGGAGTCTCGGTCGTTCCAGACAGAGATACAGCTTGAATTATATCGTTAAGATAGTGAGAGAAATTTCAGTAGACATACTCTTCCGGCATAGATAATAAAAACATGGAAGAGACATCACACAGGATGCTGCCATCATATTTTTTGCGGTCGTGAAGTGATAACAAATCAAGCCAGTTTGTTTACATTTTTGTAGAATAATAATATGATTATATATTATATTAGATAGTTGACAGTTATATTTGATAGTTTTATAGGGGGGGGGAGGTGCAAGTGTTACCCTCTCCCCTGGGCACTGTTAATGTAACATAATATGTTAGATTATGAAAAATAAAAAAGTCATAAACATAAATATTATATAAATTATATAAATAATACATATTTCCAAAAAATAATAATAGGTATTACGCGCAGTCATTCGTTATTTTAACACTTTAAACGACGATGTCAGCTCGTAGGTGACACTGAGTGCTCATTATGGCTGGTGTCAACGGTGGCGCTTAATTTTCGTCAGGAATTGTGATGGACATAAATTGATTCGGTTTTTTCCAAATGGCGTTTATGCCAGTTTTTTATTCATACAAGGACGTATTCCTGGAAAAGTAACGTTTTTTTCATAATCGTACCTACGAAGTAAAAATACTATTCATATTTCTTTTTATAAAATGTACCTGTTAGACATGCCATTTTTATTTATTTTTTAAAGACATACGAAATATAGTTCAATATTATATATAAACATCTAATCCATATTGAACACATTTGAACTATTATATAATAATTTATCCGCCGTCTAGGAGCTACCACACTCTCCATTAAGAACTTTTACATTTCATTTTTATATTCGTATAAGTACTAACATGTTACGGGCCTTTTTTACCGTATAGGATCTTACATAACATTATGTAGGTACCATTTTCTATCGTATTTTCTATTGGTATAGGTACATAGATAGTTACACTATTTTGGCCTCAATTGGAATCATTGATCACCGCAGCTAATAAGACGTTATTTTCTATCCATGTTTTTATTATATATGTCTTAAGAAGGCACCTTTCAAAAAAGAATCGTCGTTCAAAACCGCACAATTTTATACATACATCATCAACGCACAGTTTTCCCAAAATTATACCTTTCAATACCACACACACTGATATATATCAATAACGCACACATTTATCTTATATCACATTATCGTTTTGAACCACACACCTGTTAATCATATTTAATCGAAATTATAAAATATTAAAAATTAATATGATAAATTAAACTTTTAAAATAAAACATTAAGGATTATCCAATTTTCACAGATTGCTATACTACACATTTCTCCAGATAAGAAACTCATATGTATTCAAATTTTTATTTGATAGAAAGTAAACTACGACTTATAAGAAAATGGAGCTTTAAACTTAAGGAATGTAAGGATAAAGAAAAAGCCATTTTTATTTTATATGATCGATAACTTTGATTGAATGTACATTTATCCCAATCTAAAAATTAATTTTTTTTTATTATATTTAATAACTTGTACATAAAATAATAACAATTAGTTAATATTAAAATTATTAAAATTATTTTTATGACGATTTATTTATTATCAATAAATGTTTAATTTTAAACGTCAATCAAATATGTCTGGTGTTGAACGGTGTAAAATGTGTGGTTATGAATGGTAAGTGTGCGATTTTGAACTATGCCCACCAATTTATACGCGTTATAATACCCGAGTGCCCTGCAAATACTCAATGTTCTATATATTTATAGAAGTCTATAAGCGTGTTTTTTTGGACCTACCTAACGAAAACAAACGGTTTGCTGTCTGTTCACAGATACTGTACCCGATACGGCATTTGAAGTTTTTGAAACTTAAATGTACTATCAATAAGGTACAATAAACACTCTAAAGTTTTGTTAAAGTGGTGGAAAAATCGGTTAGTGATAGGAGCAAACATTATTATTATTATTTTTAGTAAACAGTTTTGACATTAAATCATCGCTAAAACGATTTTCAGTAAACAGTTCGGTACTTTCAGTAAACAATTTGATTCATCCACGAAAATGCGCTTATTTAATATAATAGTATAGGTCTGCTTGAAGATATTTTTTTTAAGACACTTTCATTGGGTGACAATAACATTTTTCCTCAAACCAAATTGCCAATAAATAGTAGACACGGTAGAATTATTTCATGCTCAACCCTCATAATAATTAAAATCATATCTAAATTAAATAAAATATGGTAAAAGTTAATTAAAAATAGTTGTAGTTATAGTTTAAAATAAGAGGTAAAAGGAAAAGAAGATAACTAAAATATTAAATTAAATGATATAATTATTGACCCTTTCACTGCTCCAGACTTACTGTTATACGTTCAAAACATTTACACAATTCATTTCTAAAGGCGTACTATTACGTCCCTGTATTTTATTACATTCTCAATTTCCGGTAACAGTACACGTTTTAGAAACCATGGTTCGCATTATTTTAAACTTAAATAACCAGATCATGTAGATCTCTTAATTCAATTTTAAAATTAAAAACAACAATAAATATTTTATTTTACGTAGCATACACCGGTTGCAGTGAATAAATGGTGTAGAAGTGAAAGGGTTTTAACATTGTTTGTAATTACCAAGGCTGTGAATTTAATGCACTAAAAACCTTTAAAAATGTCAAAAAAAATTCAATATGAAATACCAAAAATTATAGTATAATATTTACTTAAATTTTTTTTTAGTTTAGTTTTTATACTTATATTGATATTATAGGATATTTCATAGTAGTACATTGCGTTGTACTTACATAAAAATATGTTTATTTAATAAAAAAAAAAATAGTAAAAATATTGATTGAATTTGAATTTTGTATAACACTTGAAACATTTTTTTTTTAAATTTTTTATATGTATTTATTTTGGTAAAATAATAAAACAAACTTAAATATATTTAAATTCGGATACCTTATTTATATTAATTAGTCTTTACTATTACATTGGACAAAAAAAAAAACAAAAACAAAAACAAAGAAATGTTTTTTAATCACTTCAACTGACGGAATTTAATTAAAAATATCGGAAAATTAACTAAAAACAGGAAAATATGACCGAAAATGTAAAATAAAAGTTTCATAAATTGATTCGTAGTTACATAATTTAAATTATGTACTTAAAAAGCTAGGTTTCATAATCACAAAAAAAAAAATGCGCTAACGTTACAAATTCACAGCCCTAATTATATAATACATTTTTACATTTTATTTTAAGTACTATGTTTATTCTATAAATTGATAATATAGGTATTACAAAATAATATCTAAACTTGTATAGTAATATGCTATTAAAAAAAAAAAAACAATCCGTGTTTGCATTTCGGTTTAGCTTTGTTATCAATATTATATTCTAAAAACCTTAAAACACAATCTGTATGTATGAATTCAGAAATATTCACATTCCATACTTCGAATTTCGTATAGGTTGCCGACCCCTGGCAGACGAGGTACCAACTGGATTTTGTGCTCAGCAAGACTTCTTTGTTTTACGTACTTTATTGATGGACACTAATAAGACCTCGGGGGAAAGCAGAATATTTTGATATCTATTATAATATTGTGGATAGTACCTATGAATACATTAATACCACTTACGATAGTTTATAGATTATCTCTGATTTCCGATAAACCACGAAAACGTCAATTATAATGTTTTTGTTTAAGGTAAACCAAATATTCTACTTGAAATTAAAATACATTTATGGGTCCATCATTATCATCCAGTAATCGTATTTACAGAATTCAACAGGTAGACCTGAAAAACAAAAATAAAAATATACATCTTATACATTTAACGTTTAAGATTTAAAATCGATTTAGTTATGTACGATGATTTGTGAAAATTCCCGAAAGAATATTTTGAAAAATGCTAATAAGTTTCAAATTTATATGCTAAACAAAAAAAAAATTGATATTTTAAAAACAATTAAAAAACTACTTGACTTACATAGACTTTTTATCATTAACATTTTTCTGAAAATTAGTTTTATCAATTGTCTATTTTGAATTGTCCCATTAAAAATTATATTACCTAATCCATACTTAAAAAAATTTTATTTTTGTATTATAAAAACTATAATCTTACTGTGTATGTGGTCTCCAAGCATCTTTAAATTATAAATAAATGAAAAAAATTCAAAATTACAAAAAAAGTTTTTTTAATTTGTCAGGTCATTCTGTTACACCTCATTGGACACCTGGGCGCACCTTGTAAAATATTTAATATACTGCGGTTCGGGTTAACCAAGCTATCTTTTTAGATACCAGTACCGCTATTTTCTGGCCGTCTTTGATGACTTTAATTTATATTGACAATAATATTGACTTTTGAAACGATATGCGATTTAATCGTTTTGATTTGTTGTTGTTGTTGTTGTTATTGTTTAGACGACCAGCATGTCACCGACAATTGGTAATAATAATGAAGAAGTACTGCCGTCTTATTGGAGAAGCCACATTACCTCACTAGAGGAGCTCAAAAATAAACTCGACGGATGCCAGGCGTACTACGAGAGGATGCAGAAAGCCAGATATATGCTACCAATCGCTAGGGTGAAACCCATTCAGCGACATGACGTCAAACCGATGTTTCCAAAACCCGGAAAGCCCTATTTGGTCAATACAAGCACTGCCGAGATGAGATGACTGCGATGAAGAAACCATACCGAATAAATACCTCCTACAATATCATGACACGTTTCTTTTTTTAATTTTTTTTTACAGCACACAAATAAAATAATATAATGTCTTAAGATTTTTTTTTTTTTATAAGATGTTCCAAGCCTAGGCTATCTACGTTTATGGATATCTTAAGATTAAAATGTATAAGTATAATGCCTATTATGAATTAAAACTCAAATAAACGTGAATTGAAGTGCATTGAAATTGTTGTTCGTGGCAGAGGAATTAATGAATAAACGTGGCGAACAAAAATAGATAATTATTTACGGTATTTTGTTAAAAGGGCGTTAGCCATTGAAAATCGAGAAATACGTTTTTGGTATTAAAATTTAAAAAAATATTCTGCTAAAACGGCTTATACATCTACTGAAAAATAAGATAGCAATACCGAATAAAATATGTACAAATGCCCTTTTAAAAATTAAAACAATCTACACATAACTCTTAAAAGGGTTTATACTACATCGAATGCATGCTAATTGTTTAAAATACCTACACAGTTCGTAACAATAATTATGATTATTAGATTACCAGATTGAACCAAGTGGTTTTACTAGGTTACACACTGAACATAACTTGTATTGGTAACACTTTATAACACATTTCCCCCCAGTTTCATATTATCAGTTAACAATAAACCGAGTTAATAGATACAAGTTAATAGAAACAATATAGTATACAATTAAAAGGGTGTTTGTAGAAATGAAAATATTATAAGAACTTATTCCAGTATTATCATATGTTCTTAGAAGGGCGTTTATAAAATTCAAATTGTGAATAGGGACTACACCACAAAATTGTTTTTAAAATTAATATAACATTAAATATAAAATTAGTTTAAGCAATTTAATAAGCAATTTTAGTTTCACGGAGTCTCATGTTTAATATAATGTATAAATAAATGTTCTGTCTTAAAAATTGAGTGTCTTATACTTTTATCAGTTTTATTTGTTTCCTGAAAAAAATTTGGTATAAGCCCTTTTAACTAAATACCGTCAAATTACTATCCGATCGACCTAGTGTGGAATAGTATTATGCTAAACGCACTGCCGGTAAAACTTTTTTTTCTACAAATATCAATACAATTCTATTGTTCTATTTTTTTTTTTTTTTTTATAAGATGTTCCTAGCCTAGGCTATCTACGTCTATGGATATCTTAAGATTAAAATGTATACGTATATTGCTTGTTATGAATTAAAACTCAAATAAACGTGAATTGAAGTGCATTGAGAAGTTTATTTTTAATTATTTCACTATTACCTATATACCTATTGGCGATGATAATTTTTGAAATAATTGTTGTTCGTGACAGAGATCCTAATGAATAAACGTGACAAACAAAAATAGAAATTATCTGATTATGCCCAATAAGTAATAATATTATGCTAACCTAACTTCCGGCTTAATAATAACTGTTTTAGTAAGATGTGAAAATCTATATTAAAAAAAAAAATTAAATAGGTACAATAGACCTTTTTTTTCGCTGTCAAACTGTTATACAATTGGACAACACGTTATTTTACAATCGTTGTGATATTAATAACAATAATATCTACATCAAACCAGAAAGAATTATAAATTGTACATATTAATAGTATTTTTATATTTCTTTACATTTAAACATTTTTTTTACGAATAAACGTAGGTTAAGCTTTGTCAACCAAAAGTTTGTTCTGCAGGTTCGTCCTAAATTTGTCATTTAAAATTTTAGAAATTCAAATATTAACAGTATTATTATTAGATACTGCTATTAAATAGGTTTTTGACGATTATTCTTACGAGAAAAACACGCAGATCTTGTAAATCTTCACATCTTAACATCTTGTAAATTTAATGGCCGTAAAGGTAAAGTCAACGACAAGCAATCCTGAAAAAATATTGCAATTACTTACAGAAAGGCATCAAGTTTTGTTTCAACCAACTAGTTTCGAACCCGTGACCGTCACATACACATTAACTATTACCAAATGGCTAATATAAAAGTATAATATCATCTCAACAAAAACCCTTCGTAAACTACGTGTAAAAATGGCTAAGTAAAAAATTATAAGATCTTTAAGCACTATAAACATGTGATTTCATGAATAAATGCTAAGTATTTTGAATTTAAGTAAACTTATTTTCTTTCAATAATTTATTTACTTGGCTAGGAATTATTTGAAACAAAGAGTGATGAACAAAACAATTTTATTAAATGTCAAAGGACTATTAAAATATCACTTATTATTATTTTAAAAATATTATTATTAATATTTATTTACTATTCCAAATAATTCCTCGGCAAGTACATACATTATTGAAACACAATAAGTTTACTTAAATTCAATATACTTATCATTTATTCATGATATCACATCTTTATAGTGCTTAAAGATATTATATTTTTTTTTACTTATACACTTTTACACGTAGTTAAGGGTTTTTGTTGAGATATCACTAATTAGTAATTCAGTAATTTTTATCGTCAAGGCAAATAATGATAATGTATCTATATTTTATCTATATATTATACATATATATATATATATATATATAGTATATTGTATTGAGTATGGCGTAAAGTACTGACAACAATATTGTTTGTGTAAATATTGAATATTTACACAATGATTTAAGTATAAGAATGGTAATATTGTTTATAGTACGGTAATTTTGTCATATTTTCCCGAAGACTAAATAACAAACATATTGGCAACGCTGTTGCTACGAAGACGAAGCACAGTGGCCTTAAATACAAATTTAGGCGGACAAAATTATTTTATTTACAATACGGGTTCCTAATGTTATTAAATTTTAATTTTAATTATTCTAAAATTTCAAATATGACGAAAACGTACTACAATGAAAGAAACTGTATTTTTATTTTTACAGTTAACAGACCATATTATAGTTTTATAATTTTGGTTATCTGAATATTCTACAATATTTCATTCGGAATCATCGCCGTTGTCACTGTAACTGTCAGTCACTATTTTTGTCTTTCCGACAATTAGTAGTGCAATTATATCTTCATCTAGTGATTTTAAGTTCATTTTCGATGTTAAAAAACTATTTATGACTATTTTATGTTCAAGAAGACTTGAACGCCACTTTGGTAGTACTTAAGCAATTAAATAATTACACATATAGGTACTCGTTAGGAAGAACTAATAATTGTTAATAATATATGATATTTGATATTTATTTATTTCAACTGTCGTAGTTACTTTTTTTTTTACTTAGCTCGAAACACGACAGTGGAGTTGGATACAATCAAATAACACCGTAACAACCGTCCTACCTACAATATTTCTAAGCGTTAAACCATTTAGACCAGGGTCGGCAAATAAATTATATGGCGATCCAGATAATTTGAACAAAAATACCTACTCGGTAATAATGTGTTTGTAGATACTTTCAATTAATTTTTTATAATTTTATTTTAACCTTGTAAATCAAGCAGAAGCTAAACCGAATTCCATGTTTAACGTCGAATTGTATAGAGTATTTTACAATGAATTTTAAATTGAGAATAATTCAAAAATATATTACTATCAAATTTAGATTTTGCGCTCAGCTATGAATGCATTGGTTTTACAATGATGAGTGTTTATTTTAATTTTTTTAATTTTTAATTATTTATTTTCTGAATTTTCTGAATTAATTTTTTCGTGACAGTACCTACACGATAAAGAGTCGAAATAATGGTATGATTTATCACTAAAGTATGTTGTTCGTTGGGAAAGTGAATCTAGTAGGTGCATTACAGAGGTATAAATCCCATATTCCCATTAGTGTTCAAAAGCGTCAAGAAAACAAAAAAAAAAAATTAATGATAAACGGTAAGTCTTACGATTCAACGGATATCGACAAAAACGATTTTGGTTTTGGTGTACTCTAAGACAAATGAGCGTAGATACTTTAAATTTTCACTGGTTGTTTATATTCTACACAAAACTAAAATTTAAAATATTAGCATTTTTTTTTGAACTGTTTATGGTAATTTTCAGTTTACAATTTTTATTAGTTTTTTTTTCTATGAATGTCAATAAAAGTGTATTTGTTAGGTAAAAACCTTGAAATGTAATACAAGGCTCTAAATATATTTTTACAATGACCGTTGAAAAATATTAAAAATACGAATTCATAATTTTTTTTACAAAACATTTCAAGATCAAATTTTGACAAAAGAAGTGAAATTTACGAATTTGAGTTAGAAATTCATAAAAACGCTATTAGGGTTTGAAGTTAAGGGGCCTGGTCGCGACCTGTTTTTTTGCTCAAAAACATGCCTTACAGGAAAAACTCTCACGCCTTGTAGATTGGTCCGATTTCCGTAATTTTTTTTTTGTTAAATAGAAAAAGACGTATTGCAGGGCGCATTGGACTTGGATTTTCAAAATTATTTTTCGAAATCTTATATTACAAGTTTGAATTTAATCCATTTTTACAACTTTTTAGTTTTTGTATTATTATTTATTTTTAGCAACGTAATCAAAAATCAAAGTCCAATGCACTCTGTAAAAAATATTCTTATATCTATCAAAAAAAAAATTACGGAAATCGGACCAATCTACGAGGTGTGAGAGTTTTTCCTGTAAACTGTGTTTTGACCGATATAATACACCCTATCAACCCCCCCCCCCCCTAAATAGGTATTGGGTAGTAGATTAGTGGAAAAGTCTTATAATTGAGGTGGCAACTAAAATATAAAATTTAATTTTCAAATTTTATATAATTGAGGACAATTTGAAAAATCGCGACCAGGCCCCTTAAAGTTTTTACAACATTGGATATTCACTTGATTTCTCGTGTTGTGGTTTTTTTTTATTTTCTTGTTATTCAAAAAAGAATTAATGTAGATATTATATGATAATATATGTTTATATTCTCCTTTTCTAAACACCGTACAATTTTGAAAATATTTTGATTTGTTTTGCGCTGTTTACGGAAAATTCAAAATTTCAATTTTTTTTCTATTAAT